GGACAATGTTAATGTGCCAAATTGCCTTTTCTACTGTAGCAATTGTTATTCATATCTAAATGGATGCCAAGTTGTCTCCAGGTTATTCTCTAACTGATTGATAGCAGGGTGGTTGACTGGAGAAGACAGTCTCAATTATGAATTTACTGTATGGATAACTGGACTTAATATTCCACAAAAAAATTCTAAAAGCTCCTATAACTCTCTATTCATGGGCAAACAAATTGTGTCAGTCTTAGATTTTGCTTGCACAAAAGCAAACTAATTCGGTAATGAAACGAAGAACTGCAGATGCTGGAAATCTGAAACAAAAACAGAAATTCCAACCCTGTCAACTTAACCCCTTAATAATCTACTGTCAATCATCAATAAGTAATGGAATGTATAGCCAAGTGTTATCAAGTGGCATTTGCTCAGTGACAACTTGCTCGCTGACAGCTTGGATTTTGTCAGGGTCACATGTAAAGAGGTAACTTTTTATTTTTGTGCTTTTTTAAAGCTTCAGACAGAAATGAGAGAACTGTTTTGTAAACCATGATTTACAAGGAAGGCAGCCAGTTTTGGAAGTAAGGAATTTGATACTCACAGCTACACAAACAAAATGTAGGTGAACTGGAGCCGAGAGGCTGTTTACAAGTGAAGCCGATTGGCTCATGGGCTAGGGGCCAATGATCAATGATAAAGGTCTTCTGCCCTCAATCAGCAATATGATTGATTGTCAGGTACAACTTGGACTGTGAACAAAATGGAGAGAAGCTAGTTCAGACCAGAAGAGAAGCCAGCAGCTCTGCAGCAGCTAAAAACTCTTATTCTGCTCTCTGCAGCAAATACTTTACGTCTGAAGAATATCAGCTTATCTTTCCTTCAGCAAATGCTGCAAGTTGTGAGTTGGAAAAGCACAGAAAGTCAGACAGCATCTGAGGAGCAGGAAAGTCAATCTTTCGGCTGAAACCCTTCGTTAGCTCTGGTGAGGGGAAGGGGAGCCCAGAAATAAATAAAAGGGGAGAGGGGATGGAGCTAGTGGAGGGTAGGTGAGATGGAAATAGGTGGATGCAGGTAGACGGTTATTGTGGTTGGACAGTGGGAAAGGTGAAGCAGATAGGTGAGTCAGAAGACGGTCATTTTAGGGCTGGAGAGATTTTGAAGATGGTGAAGTCAATATTCAGGCCATTGGGCTGTAAGCTCCCAAGGTGAAATATGAGGTGTTGCTCATCCAGTTTACATTTGGCCTTACTCTGACAGTGGAGGAGGCCAATGATGGACATGTCACCAAGGGAGTGGAGGGGGAGTTAAAGTGGATGACAACTGGAAGGTCAGGTTGGTTCATGCGTTCAGAGCTCAGATGCTCTGCACACTGGCCCCCGAGTCTGCATTTGGTCTTCCTGATATGGAGGAAACCACATCGGGAGCAATGGATACAATAGATGATGTTAGAGGAAGTGCACGTGAATCTCTGCTGGATTTGGATGGATTGTTTGAGGCCTTGGATGGAGGCAAGAAGGGAGGTGTAGGGGCAGATGTACCACCCTCCTGCAGTTGCAGGGAAAGGTACTGGGTGTGGTGGAGGGGTTGGTGGGGAGTGTGGAGTTGATGAGGGAGTGGTGGAGTGAATGGTTCCTGTGGAAAGCGGATAGGGATGGGGAAGGAAATACCTTTTTGGTGGTCAGGTCTGATTGTAGGCGGTGGAAACGCCGGAGGATAACGTGTTGTATTTGGAGGTTGGTGGGGTGGTATGTAAGGAACAAGTGGACTGTATCCTCATTGTCGTTAGGGGGAGAGGGTTTGAGAGCAGAAGCGCAGGAAATGAGGGAGATGCGGTTGAAGGCATGCTTAATAACAAAGGAGGGGAAATTATGATCTCTAAAGTAGGAGGATATCTGGGAAGTCCTAGAGTAGAATGCCTCACCTTGGGGACAGAGGTGTAGGAATTGAGAGTATGGGATAGAATTTTTGCAGGAGCATGGGTGAGGGGAGGTGTAGTTGTGGTAATTGTGGGAGTCAGTGGGTTTGAATTGGATGTCAGTGGTGAGTTGGTTACTGGAGATGGAGGTGGAGAGGTCGAGGGAGGGAGGGAGGGGTCAGAAATGGTCCAGGTGACTTTGAGGACATGGTGGAAGGTGTTGGTGAAGTGGTTGAACTATTCGAGCTCCTTGCGGGAGCACGAGGCAGTACCAGTACAGTCATCAATGTAGCAGAGAAAGAGGTGGGGGATGGTGTCTCTGTAGTTGTTGAAGAGGGACTGTTCCACAAATCCTACAAAGGGGCAGGCATATCTTGGGGCCCATGTGGGTGCCCCCTAGCCACCCCTTTGGCTTGTAGGATGTGGGAGGACTCAAAGGAAAAATTGTTGAGGATGAGGACCAGTTTGAGACCTGTAAATGAGACAGTGGGTGAAGGGGAACTGTGTGGGTCTACAGGAGAAGAGGAAGGGGAGGGCTTTAAGGCTATCCTGGTGGGGGATGCAGGTGTATAGGGTCCGTATGTCCATGGTGAAGATAAGGTGTTGGGAACCAGGGAATTGAAAGTTTTGGAAAAGGTGGAGGGTGTGGGTTGTGTCCCAAATGTAGTTCCTGGACTAGGGGGGGAAGAAGGGAATCGAGGTAGGAGGAGATGAGTTCAGTGGGGCAGGAGCAGGCAGAGACAATGGGTTGACCAGGGCAGTTGGGTTTATGGATCTTCGGTAGTAGATAGAAACGGGTGGTGCGGGCTGGGGAACTGTCAGATTGGAGGCTATGGACGGGAGATCTCCCAAAGTGATGAGGTTGTTGATGGTCTGGGTGATCAGAGGTGGATCATGACTGAGGGGATGGTAGGAGGAGGTGTCAGAGAGTTGGCTCCTCCTTTTCTGCTCCTTGGATGCTGTCTAACCTGCTGCGCCTTTCCAGCTCCACATTTATTGACTCTAGCTTCCAGCACCTGCAGTCCCTACTGTCTCTGAGTCACTGCAAATTGTGACTTTGAACTAGAGAAGTAAGACATGTTCCATCAGTGAACCAACCACCTGTGCCTCTTATAAACCAGTATAAGCATTGGGAAAAATGAAGGTCAAGGAAGAATCTTCTTATCAATGAGAAGCAACTTAATATATCTTGTGAACGAAGGCTATGCATCTGTTTTATCAGTTTTCACCCCACCCCTGTGCTTTTCCCCCCGCGTTTATGTTTGTCTGGCTGTATGTATGTAAGCAGGAGTTTATAGGGGGATTGTAGTTTTAATTTGTAGAATTTATTTAATGAAGTTTAATTATTTATCTGTAGCTATAATCTAACTATCTGCCATAAATAATGATTCTTGTTAAGTATGGATTCATTGGAGCAGAGTGACTTTCGCTAATGGTGTGTTGGGTGATGTTTTTTCAAAACTTTATTTATTTGTTTCACTATCGGGCATGAGTTCCTCTTCAATATACCAAGTTGACTTTACTTGATTTGTATTATGAATCTATAAATGCTCTATTATTACATCCTTAATAATAATCTCTAGGATTTTCCCAATGACAGATGTTAAGCTAACTGGCCTATAGTATAAATGCAAAGTAGAAATGTCCATAGTTGGAGATGGTCATGAATGACCATGAGTGACATGAATATCTCTTGCCACTTATAAGCCCAAGACCGAATGTTATCCAGGTCTTGCTGCATATGCCATTACTGCTTCAATTTCTTATGAAGTGTGAATAGTACTGAATATTGTGTAATCAGCAAACATCCCACCTCTGACCTTATGATTGAGCGAAGGTCATTGAAGAAACAGCTGAAGATGGTTGAACTTAGAATCTATGCTGAGCATTGCTGTCCTAGGACTGAAATGATCAATCTCCAACAACCAACATGTTCCTTTATGTTAAGTATGACTCCAGCCAGTGGAAAGTGTTCTCCATGATTGCCATTGACTAATTTTGATACCACACTCGATCAAATGCTGCCTTGATATCAAGGGCAATTACTCTCACCTCCACTTTTGGGATTCAGCTGTTTGCTACATGTTTGGACCAAAGCTGTAATGGGTCAGGAGCTAAGTGGCCGTGGTGGACACCTAACTGATGGTCAGTGAACAGGTTATTATGTGTAAGTGTTGCTTTTGACTATCAAGAAGAGCTGATGGGGCAGTAATTGGGTTGGATATGTCGTAAATTGTGTGGATAGAACATGTCAAGGCAATTTTCCATATTGATGGGTAGATATCGGAGCAACATCTTTATTAAAGGCACTGTGAAAAGCAACAGCAGAAATGAAGAGTGGAAGTTTGTGCCATTCACATTGTAAAACATTCCAATACTTGATGTCAAAAAACAAGAATAATTACCTTATCGGTGCTGAACTTACTTGGTCTACTGTGCCTGTTCTGCTGTGGTATTTAAACTTTATACATTTCAGTTAGATTTAAACTTTTGTACCAACAACAATCCTGTGCACGATAGTAGAGGGGAGGGGATCAGGTCATCTCAAATCAATTCCCAATCCTCACTTGCACAAGAGCAGAAAAATTACCTGTAATTCAATATTAATTGCCAAACTTACAGAAGCTGCAAGGTAAGGCGTTTAGCATGCTTGCTTCATTGTTCAGACCTTTGAGTAAAGGATTTGGTACGCCATGTTGAGGTTGTACACGACATTGGTGAGGCCTCTTCTGGAGTACTACGTGCAGTTCTGGTCACCCTGTTATAGGAAGGATATTATTAAGCTGGAGAGGGTTCCAAAAAGATTTACCAGGATGTTGCCAGGAAGAGGGTTCAAATTATAAGGTGAGGCTGGATAGGCTGGGATTTTTTTCACTGGAACGTAGGAGGTTGAGGGGTGACCTTACAGAGGTTTATAAAATCATGCGAGATATAGATAAGGTGAATGGCAGGTGTCTTTTCCTTAGGGTGGGAGATTGCAAGACTAAAGGGCATATTTTTAAGGTGAGAGGAGTAAGATTTTAAAAAGACATGACAGGTAACTTTTTCACACAAGAGAGTGGCTCGTGAGTGGAATGAACTTCTAGAGGAAGTGGTGGTTGCAGGTACAGTTACGTTTAAAGAAGTGTTTGAAGGGATACAGGCAAAGTGCAGGCAGATGGGACTAGTTTAGTTTGGGATTATGGTCGGCATGGACTAGTTGGACCAAAGATCTGTTTCCGTATCATATGACTCTATAACGCTTACAAAAGTGAAATGTTACATCAAGCCTTGACCAGTCAAGAATGAAGGAGATGAAACAAAATATGATTGAAGTAGGGTAGGAGAGTGAGGGATTTGGGGAGGGAGCTGCCTCTTTAAGAAACACATGATCACAAACATCAAACAATGTTTCCACAATTCATGCTAGTTGATAATTGTAATGCATGGATATGCTTTTACATATTTACAATCAATATAGTGTTTGTACAAAAATAGAAGCATTGCAAAATATGTGTGTGTGTACTCAACTTAAGAAAAATATTACACAGGTTGGTAAATACTTTAATTTTTAACATCTTTTTCTTTACATTTTTAATTAAATAGTTGTTTTTAGATGACAAGTGTATTGAAAATATGAGAAAACTGGTAATGAAAAGCTGAACTCTAAATTATCAGGTTCATGTCCATACTAAACCAGAGTTTCTTCACGCTGGAAACCAATTAATCAGCAGATCATCAAGTTCATTAAACTTCACCTACCACTTGATTATGTTGACAATTGAAAATGAACAAAGTAGTTTTATAAAGTACCAATCATATCCACGAAACAGACAAGCAGTGAATACGTTTTTCCAAGGGCAGTCACTGGGGAAAAAAATTCTCTTTATGCAACACCTTTCACGACACTCCAAAGCACAGATGACGTTGAGAATCACAACCAACTTATGCACAGCAAGGCCATATGAAAGGACCAGATCGTTTGCCTTAGTGAAACTGATGGAGGGATAAATGTTTCTGCACCAGGAGGCCTGGGTTCAAGTTCTACCTGCTCCATAGCTGTGTAATAATAGGTTGATTAAAATAACTAAAGGAATAAATGTTGGCAGTCTCCATGTTCTTTAAAATAGAGCTGTGAGATCTTTATGACCCTCTGAGGACTATCGTTTTGTGTTTACATGGAATGTTTGTTATACATACAAATAACAATGAGATGCCTGACTTGTTGATCTGTTTTGGCATTGTTCAAGAACTTAATATTGACCGGTCCAACAGTAGACAAACGGTTACCAACCTGAAACATTAACTCTGTTTCTGTTTCCACAGGTATTGCTGACCTGCTGCATGTTCCCAGTTCTGATTTCCACTGCTGGTAGGGTTTTGCTTCTTTTGTTTCTCTGAGAGGGCACCCTGTTCTTTCTGGGAAAAGAAATGTCATGGGATATTTCAGATCTACCTGCACAGGTGGGTGTCGATGCCCCAGCATAAATCTTTCATTCCAAAAAGGGTATCTCTCACTCAGCTGTCAGCTTAGATGATGTGCTCAGGTGAGTTTGACTCAAATAAATGCAGGACAAGTGAAGTATGGATGTGTTCTGACGACATGAGAACCAGAGAGTCCATTACTTATACCCATCACTGCATCAAGCAAAGGCATTTATTTTCTAATCTAGTTTTCTTGGCTTTTTGTTTTATTTTAAAAGCCACAGCACATGAAGCCTCCGCTACATAGCACCCATTTCCACTGTGTGAGTGTGGTCAGTTTTCCTTAGCTCAGTCTCTTTGAGTGCAACTAGGCAGGGCTCTAAGTGTTGTCCACGCTGCTCGGGCTGTAGCCCAGCATTTTCATCGCTGTTCGACAGCTCTCTTCCACCTGCTGGATCTGCCACAAGCTCAGTCTCTTCTTCCAAGCGCTGACAGCTTCCTTTGCATCCCTGGACGAGATGAGGAAGGGCCGGTCGGAGGAGTAGCCCACGCCACGCGTCATGTTCCACACGTAGCTCTCGGTGGCCGGCGTGACCGTCAGATTGGCGAAGGTGTAGAGCGTTCTCAGGCTGCTCAGGGGGTCCAACACCAGGTCCTCGTAGCGGACGGTGAGATACCGAGCCCGCACCCAGTCAGGAGACCGCTTCACCAGCGCCTGGTCCCTGCTCCAAGCCTCACAGATCACCTCCAGGGCTTTGGAGACGTACGCTTCGGCCCGTTGGGCTCTGTTGGAGAGCCAGGAGCCCTTGTTGTCCCTTTGGGACCTCTTGCTCTTGCTCCTCAGCACCTGGATGCTCTCCCTGACCAGCGACTGCTTGGACTTCATGCGGGAATTGTGCACAGCCCTGGGGTCCCTCACCAGCTGCACCACCTTGAAGTTCAGCGAGGGGTCCCGCATGAGGGCGAACAGGACCCCGGCGTCCAGTACCCGGACGTCCTTGATGACCACCGCCTGGTACCTCCTGCACTCCCTCTCCAGCTCCTGGATGTGGCGGGCCTCGCACTGCCGCTCGCACACGCTGCCGTCCACCAGCTCGACCCGCTCTTTGCTGTAGGCGCCGCACAGCGGGGCCGAGCAGATCACTTTGTTGTTCCTCCAGCCGAAGATGGAGCGGGTGGTGAGCGGGCCCGCCGCCGCCACGTACAGCCCCAGCACCGAGAAGTCGCAGCGGAACAGCGAGCGCAGCATGTCCCGCACCGCGCCGTGCAGGCTCTCGGCGTCGCCCGGGTACAGAGCCTGCCACATGAGCCACATGGGCTCGTACAGGTAGAAGACGGCCGGGTGCTGGTTGAAGAGCTCGCCGGCGAACGACGAGCCCGTCCTCCAGGTGGCGTGCAAGTAAATGTGCTGCTTGCCCTTCCCGCTGGCCGCCTCCGTCCGGGTCGCGTTGCCCCAATCCGCCCAAACCTCCGGGGCTGAAGCGTCCGGGCACTCCCTGGGAAAGAGCGGCTGCTCGCCCGGAGCCCGCGGCTTGTTGCGGCAGTCTAAAAGATACGAAATGCTCAGCAGCAAGAGCGAATAAATGGCGATGAAGGTCAGACATCTGGTGCGGAGCAGCTTCATGGCATCTGCTGATTATCACTGTCAAATATGTCCTTTGTTTTGGTTCTCCTCCCTGCCTTGCTTCTTATCCACTCTTTCTCTCTGTGTGTGTATGTGTATATGAGTGAGTGAGCGGGCGCCCTTTTTTTTTACAACCAGTTTTCAAGGCGAAGAGCTGCTTTTGTCAGAAGGGCGCAAAGGGAAGCCAATTTCATTCTGGCGTCGGTCGTTCGAATAAATACAACTCAGAAACCCGCCCAGAGGCTTCACTATAGAAACAGTGGATGCTGGGTGGGACGATGGCAATTGGGAGAAGGGTGGTGTCAGTGTGTGAAGAAAACGCTAGTGTGTGCATAAAACAGATAGATTGAGATTACTGCGACTGTGAGAGAAAGTGTCAGTGATTGACAGTATCGGTGCACGGGAAGGGAAAGAGATTAAGAGGACCCCTTAGATGTGTATCAAAAACAGAAATTGCAGGAAAAGCTCAGCAGGTTTGGCAGTATCTGTGGAAAGAAATCGGAATTTTAGCGCTTCAGGTCGTGTGCTCTTTCCTTAGAATCTACAGATGTGTGGACTGTTTATGAATGTTGACTGAGGGACAGACATTGAGGGGTTGTATACGAGTGATTTGAACTTGTGAGAAAGGATATTGACACAAATCTGTCTAATATATATAAATAAATAAATAAATAAATAAATAACAGATCTGCACGAGTGAAGAAGATTGAGGCAAAAACGGAAAGTGCTGCAGAACAGCCAAACCCGCTGAGTTTCCCCAGCACTTTGTTTTCATTTCAGACTGTGAGGAAACTGAGAGAGCGAGACTGAGCGTGCACACAAGATTGTATCTGAAGTGCAGATCATTTTGGTGCAAACGCTGCACCAAATTCTGAATTAAATGTTTTTAAAAAAGACTGAACCAAACTGCTTGCCAACAGGACCGTCGCCCAGACAACAATGTAGCTAAACAGAGGGGTTAAAATTGAATCAGAGATAGTAGGAACTGCAGCTGCTGGAGAATCCGAGACAACAAGGTGCGGAGCTGGATGAACACAGCAGGCCAAGCAGTATCATAGTCATTGAGTCATAGTGTTGCAAAATTCGTGGTTTAGTGGTGAAATTAGAACGTCACCTGTTAATGAAATCTTCCGGAAAGTCGCTCTGACTTTCAATATCATTAGCAAATTGTAAATTATTTGAAGTTTAATTTGACTAGTAATGCCACGCCCCCCATGCAAAGTGGATTCAAACCTAGCAGCTGGAGGAACACAGCAGGCCAGGTAGCATCAAAGGAGCAGGAAAGTCAACTTTTCTGCTCCTCTAATGCTGCCTGGCGTGCAGTGTTCCTCCAGCTCCATGCTGTGTTGTCTGTGACTCTAGCATCTGCAGTTCTTGCAATCTCCAAGTGACTTATAACCCCATATCCTCTTCCAAGGATGCACAGCTTGAAGAAGTTGTCCTCACCTCTCCCGAATGACCTCAATGGGTCTCTCTCCCACTGCAATCCAGTGGTAATCTCTTCTGCCCTGAAACGGTCAACTTTCCTGCTCCTCTGATGCTGCTTGGCCTGCTGTGTTCCTCCAGTTCTACGCTGTGTTATCTCTGACTCCAGCATCTGGTGTCCTTGCTGTCTTCAAACCTAGCAGCAATTTGTCGTCCCTTGCGCCTCTCTCTATTGCATTTTGAGAGATTAAGGGTTGAGAGATTAAAGTATTCAACCCTTTTAAATCGGGTAACTAACACAGCACTCAGCCTTCGGGAACTGTAAGTTGCAACAGTGACAGGTTTGTGAAATTACGTACATTTCAGGATGCAGCTGCACGCCAGCTGTGGTGTAGGGCATGAAACGTTTCAGTTTCACACCAACGCGGCAGTTACAATGTGTGAACCCCTTTCATACGGAATGAGCAAAGCTGAGTCTGCATAAAGTGGAAATTTCACCTCCTCTGGCTGCAGAGCTAGCACAGGACTCAGTCAACACCTGGTTTATATAAAAAACAAAATTTGAAATAAAAACAGAAAATGCTGAATAAATCCAACAGGTCTGGCAGCATTTGTGGAGAGAGAGAGAAGAACTGAAATATTATTTCGAGTCTGGTAAGGAACTGTTTATCCGCAGATGCTGCCGGACTTGGTGAGAAACTTGAAAAATCTTACTGTTACTTCTCAATAAACCCAGAATAATTCCAATCTAATTCGACATGGATGAGTATTGACGGACTTTTCGTATCATTTTACATGTTTTTCTTGTAATTTCACACGGTAATCTAAAGCAGATCAATTGTGGTTTTCAAACTCCATCTGACAAGTTTTAGAGATAACAAGGTGTAGAGCTGGATGAACACAGCAGGCCAAGCAGCATTTCAGGAGCAGGAAAGCTGACCTTTCGGATCCAGACCAAAAAGGGTCTAGACCCGAAACGTCAACTTTCCTGCTCCTCTGATGCTGCCTGGCCTGCTGTGTTCATCCAGCTCTACACCTTGTTATTTCAGATTCTCCAGCATCCGCAGTTCCTACTATATCTGACAAGTATTATATCTTATTAACAGATCTATAAAGATTGTCTTGGATTTGCTAAAATTAGAAGTGACCTACTTTTCAGAAGCATGTTACTTATGCTTCCAGTGACCATATGAAGTCAGTACATGCAATAATGTTAAGTCCATTCTGACATCGCAAAGGCATACCATGAAATGACCTGATACACAACATGAGATGGCTGGTCACAAACTCAGTTGAATTCAGGTAACATACAAGTGTTTTTGGAAATGTTGCTCCAAAAGCCTTGTGCCTATACACATTTGCAGCAAAATTCATCTACTTAGCGGCTGATTTAACAGCATTGAGTGTTGTTTGGGTGCAGATTAACACCAAAACAAAATAGCAGTCATTTTGAAGCTCTGCTCTAGTTGGTACCTTAACCATGTGTTGAGCTACAGGAAGGACGCAGTACCAACACTATTTAAAAGGATTAAGTTACAGGTTAGTTGCTAATTATTTCTGCTGTTGCGGCATTCATCGAAGTGTTTGATGTTTCTGGATTCCTTTTAGGTTTCTGAAGTCTACCGGAAGTGGTATGGCACATATTTTTTCACAACTTCAGGATTCTGAACAAATCATTTGGTCCCAGACTGGAGTTCAGTATAATTCATTCTTCATGGATTAGGCAAGACAGGGATAATAAGCATTAGTGACACAGAGCAAAACAGACGTCTGGAAGAGGAAGTAAAAGCAGAAGGGGGCTCAAAACAGGAGGTTGTGTCTGTTCAGTGTGTTGAGGGAGCAGTTCGTCTACCTATATCATGGTAAGGAACAGTGCATGAAATGTTGGCAATTCTTGTTAGGGAGCATATGTAAAGTGCTCAAGTTGTGAAAAATGTAACTATTTTAAAAACATTCCTTTAATAATTAAATTATGGACACCAGCAGAATGAGGTCATAGAGTCGTAGAACGTACAGCATGGAAACAGACCCTTCAGTCCAACTCATCCATGGCAACCAGGTATCCTAAATTCATCTAGTCCCATTTGCCAGCATTTTTAGACCATATCCCACTAAATCCTTCCTACTCATATACTCATCCAGTTGCCTTTAAAAATGTTGTAATTGTACCAGCCTCAACCACTTCCTCTGGTAGCTCATTCCATACATGCGCCACCCTCTGTGTGAAAAAGCTGGGAAAAGACCTTGGCTATTCACCCTATCCATGCCCCTATAAACATCTCTAAGGTCACCCCTCAGCCTCCAATGCTCCAGGGAAAATAGCCCTAGCCTATTCAGTCTCTCCCTATAATTCAAACCCTCCAACCCTGGCAACATGGTTGTAAATCTTTTCTGAACCTTTTCAAGTTTCACAAGATCCTTCTTGTAACAGGGGGACGAGAATTGCATTCAGTATTCCAAAAGTGGCCCAACCAACATCCGATACAGCCGCAATAGAACCTCCCGACTCCTATACTCAATGCACTGACCAATAAAAGCAAGCATACCAAATGTCGTCTCCACTGCTCTGTCTACCTGCATCTCAACTTTCAAGGAACAATGAATCTGCACTCTAAGGTTCAGCAACACTCCCCAGGACCTTACCATTGAATACATAAGTCCTGGCCTGATTTGCCTTTCCAAAAATGCAGCACCTCACATTTATCTAAATTAAACTCCATCTGCAACTCCTTGGCCCATTTGTCCAGCTGATCAAGGTCCTAACAAATTACTGCAGCCATTTCCTCATTTTTAAGTGGCAGGGTCTATTGTATTTCTGAGATGTAATTTAGTGTGGTAAGCAATGAGAAGAAATGTTGATTTAATTAATTATGAAAATAATTAAGTTACTTAAGACACAATATGGATCACAGGACACTGCAGTGCCTCATTGAGGAGAAAAAGATAACCTGGGACACTTTGTTCCAATCAAAACCTCTAGAATTGAGTCTTCTAAATTGGTCAATTGTCAGGCAGATATAAAAATCTATGAGGCAGGTATAGAGACCAAAAGGTAGAAGTGGGGGAGTCTCGGCCTTTTCAATTGTCCAACAGGTTTGAGATTCTTCCAAACTGAATTGTTGAAAGTTGTGTCTGCAGGATGGGAGTGCAAACTGTCTATGGCACCAGGGTGTAAGAAGTGGTTTGTGTGTGTGAAGGTGGGTGGTGGTGTTTATGTATTCCGTCATTATAGCAGAAATTAGAGAGGGATTTAAGATGTCATTCTTCATACTGTGAACAAGAATTCAGAAAACCATTTTAACTGTCTAGTGCTATGGGCTGGGACATGAGCGGAGAACAACCTGCAGTGAGAAGGAAGGGTCTAGTTCCCATGGTCTGTCAGTAGTAATAACGTAGGTAGAACTACGAAAGTGGGAGCATGAGGAGTTAGGAGCTAAGTTTAAAAAGCAGAAGCTCAAAGAGAATAAATGCTTAGATTAATACTTGAGTGACAGAAAATTAGTATAGGGCAAATAAGACTGGAGAGTTAAATGAGTAGTTTAGAGATTGGTGTTGGAGAAATGCATTTTGATTTAATGATTGCTGGCACCACAATAGGGAAAATACAAGCTAAAATATACCATCGAGACAAACTTCACAAACCATTCTGGGACCAGTGATCTGGCAAGAGTTATGAAGACAGTTCATCATTAATAATTTTTTTTTGAGGAATTGTGTTCAAAGCATTGCAAACAGTGGTTCATTTGCAAAGACCAAGAAGAGAGATCTGGATGTTTTATAAAAAAAAAGGCACAACGTCCTTTTTGCGACG